AGCCAGGCGGTGGTGGCGCACGCCTTTAATCCCAGCACTCGGGAGGCAGAGGCAGGCGAATCTCTGTAAGTTCGAGGCCAGCCTGGTCTACAAAGTGAGTTCCAGGAAAGGCGCAAAGCTACACAGAGAAACCCTGTCTCAAAAAACAAAACAAAAAAAACAAAAACAAAAAAAAACAACGCAGGCCTTACCCAAGGTCACACAAGCAGGCAGGCAGAGGCAGAGCTAAAGAAAGAACTCAGCTGTCCTGGCCCTGGCCCGGGTCTTTCTAAAGAGATGCCGCTCCCTCTGGTCAGCAACCTGAGGCATCTCAGCTAGTTACTAGTGTTTGACATGATCTTGATGAACAGCCCCTTCATTCTCTGAGCAATTATTTATAAAGCACTTTCATGCGCCAAACACCAAGGAAAGCTTAGGAGAGTATGGGAAAAGTCCAGTGTTAGAATGGGCTTTAGCCTCGCAGAGCTTAGGAACAGACATCTTAACAGACAGCAATCTGGAGACATAATTACTAGTAAACAAGACATTTCTCTACCCACTTTAAGCACTTCTGTGGCAGTCGCTATAACTGTCTGCGTTCAGATGCATATAGATGTTCGACTGAGACAAGAAATAAACTTAATGTCATGCCATTGACGTCATGATCTTTAAAAGTAATGTAGTCCAACAATCAGTATTTTTAAAGTTACTGTAAGGGCTTAGTAGTTAAGAGCACTTGCTAGCAGCCCACAATTGCCTGCAACCCAAGTTTGAGGGGATCTAACCTTGTCTGCTGACACCCTCGGGCTTGTGCATATATGCAGGCACACATATCCACATTTTCTAAAGTTAGCATAGTAGTTGAGCATCTAAAGGACATTCAGCACATGCTCAGCAGAATGAGTCTCAGTGTTCATATGCTGTGCAGTCTCAGGCAGATGTAGAGACTTGGCCTACATTTGATTGCCCTCACAAAGTCTCCCCAGTGTTATGGTCAAGTGCCACATCCATCCACTTACTGCAAAGTATTATCGAAATGCCTATGTGCCAGATAGAAGGCTGCTGGGGTAGAAATGTACATGCTGTAGCATTCAAGGATCCGTTTCTATGAGCTGAAGATAAGCTGCAAAGTTCCCAAGAAGTGTAGTGGAATCATTTGGGAAATAACCATGACTGTGTCTCCTAGGTTAGATATCAACTCCTATCACCTGTCTCGGCTAGAAGGAAGGATGGTCACAGGGATGATCTTTGCAGACTCAAGCTATGAGTGGCAGCTTAGTTGGTGGCCATCCCTAGGAGTAGTAGCTTGGCTAGTGGCCAGGGTCATGGGAAGAAGTTGACTGGACACTGAAGATTAGGGGATATAGGTAAAGGCACGTGAATATGCATTTCCGAATGGGCACGAAGGGTCCATGGGAATGCTCATGGAAGGGTGGGTCAGGTGGGTAGGCTGGCCTATTCAGCCATCCCCCTTCTATATCCACTTTCATCATTACCCAGTGAGCTCATGAACAATGTGGCCATGGAGGCAAGGACAGAAGTTCCGCATGGACTCCATATTTAGACTTCCACTCATCAGGGCTGATCCAGCTAAAACCACCACTGAGTGCCTAATCTGCCCACAGCCCCTGAGCTCCTACACTGGCACAGCTCCCAGAGAGGTCAGCCAGCTACTTGCTGACAGGTTGATTACATTGGACTGTTTCTGTAACAGCGCTTTGTTCTCATTAGAGTGGACGCTCACCCTTCTTGCCTTCCTTCTTATAACGTTTCTAAGTGACTATGTGTGCCTTAGAGAATGTCATATCTGCTCTATGCCATTCTACACAGCTCTGATCAAAGAATTCATTTCATAGCAAATATGGCTGCAGAAATGGGGGCCTTGTGTATGCCAGGCAAAAACACTCTACCAACTGAGTGAGCTATAAGCCCAGCCCTATGATTTGGCTTTCTGATTGAACCCTGTCTGATAATGTGGCTTAGCAAATTAAGGAGTTTATTTTCTTCACACAGTTTGAAGGTGAACAATCCAGGTAGCCAAAGCTTTTTGGCTCCATGTGGATATTCGTGGACCCAAGTTCCCTTCCCAGTTTTGTAGCAGTATCCTAGGACACTGCCATTACCCACCTGGTCAAAGCTGAGTCTCCACACCTACATTTCAGCCAACCCAAAGAGGCAAGGGGAACACAGAGAACAGCCTCAAATCTGAGCCCAGCCCCGGAAGTGACATGCCATTTCACATTCTGGAGGTAAAACTCATCATGGTGCTTTGCCCAATTCAAGGAAAGAGTCGGAAATAAGTTCTCATGAGGTGGACACCTCCTTGTCCATCCAGGAATAAAGGCTCTTTGAACAACTAGCTACCCCTAGGATATGTGTTTATGTATGTATGTATGTATGTATGTATGCATGTATGTATGTATATATACTTAATATAGAAAAATATTTACACTTATGTTGTCCTAGGGTTTTCTATTTCTGTGAAGAAACATCATGACCACAGTGACTCTTATAAAGAAAAGCATTTAATTGGGAGGGCTTACTTACAGTTTTAGAGATTCAGTCTGTTATCATCATTACGGGGAGCCTGGCAGAGTACAAGCAGACACGGTGCTGGAGCTGAGAGTCCTCCGTCTTGCAGGCAACAGGAAGTCAACTGACACAAGGGGTGATATCCTGAGCATAGGAAACCTCAAAGCCCACCCCCACAGTGACACACTTCCTCCAACAAGGCCACGCCTCCTAATAGTGCCACTCCCTATGAGATTATGGGGGCCAATTACATTCAAACTACCACATGTATATAGGTAGACAGATTAGGTTTTTCTAATATGTAAGTGTGTGTGCAGGAGTCTATGAATGTGCACCATGTGCATACAAATGCTTACAGAGACAAAGAGCATTGGGTCCCCTGGAACTGGAATTACAGGTGGTTGTAAGCTAGCTTGGGACTGAACCCAGGTCCTCTACAAGAACAGCAAGTGCTCTTAGCCCCTGCGCCTCTCTCAAGCCCTGAGACCAATTTTACTAGTATGCATATTATTTTATCTATAATAGTAAATCATATAGATTATGTAGTTGCATACAACCATACATAACATTTTATTACAGAATATTGACAGAATTAAAGTTAGTCTCTATATCATATCTATAAGTATACATATTACACAGACATAATGCATATGCTATTACATACTGTGATACTGATACCAAGTCTGAAAAGTAGCTCAAAAGAAATACTAAAAGTGAGCTGGGTTACTCTACACACCAGAGTCAGGAGCAGAGTCAGGAGCAGACTCGTGCTATGAAAAATTTAACTGAATGCTTCCAGATTGAAGATGCTCTGTGCCCATAAATAAATAAATAAACTTCTACAGTAACCACAAACCCAGGAACTTTCCCAATGAAAAATCATAATTGATCCCAAGCTGTTGCCTCCTGTATCCGGTTACTTTCTGCCTTCTCAACTGAATACCTCGGCAGGGAGAAAGATTGCGTTTGAGATTTGCATGGTTTAAATAGCCTAGCACACATCCACCCAAGACTGAATCGAAGAGAGGAGATTTGGTTCAAATACTCCTTCTCAGCATGTCAGGAAATGTTTGCTCCAATTAAGTAATCTCATTTTAGAGTTAAGTCTGTGCCAAGAAAATAAACAATGTATCTTTCATGCACACATCCACTCTGTTTTATAAAAAGAACTTCTATTTTCTGGGAGGCTGCTCTTGGAATTTGTACTCCGATCTAATGAGATCGGAGCTGGAAAAATCCTGGCCTTTTTTAAGCATCTAGCAGCTTTGGGAACTATAGGGAAGCCACGTGACACAGTATAATAAAAAAAAAGTTCTACAGGAAGACTACATGAAGGACAGTAGGATGTTTCTGCTCAGCCTTGAGCTATGCAAAATTGACTTGCAAGAGACTCTGCTACCCATCACACTCCAAACACTGTTACACTTTCAACACATACTTCCAAGATCCAGTAGGAAGATCCAAATTGCTGGCTGGCTGATGGGTGGCAGCGAAGAAGGGAGAAGGCTGGAGGACCCCACCTTGGAGGTCTCCAACCCACTCCCAGATGCAGGGCTGGAGTCAGAGTTAGGTTGTCCTGTGCTACCTCTCACTGTCCCAACACCCTCACTATGGTCCAGCAACATCAAAGAGTCCCCTTCGGCAGACCCAGCAAAGCTGCTTCCCATAATGCTGCTTGCCCATAACCCTGGGCATTTGAACACTCGGTTCCTTGCTGATGGTGCTTTTGGGGGGAGATTCAGGGAGTGTGTCCTGGACAAGGGAAGTAAGTCACTGAGGGCAGGCTTTGAGAGTTCCAGTGTGCTCTCTCTGCTTTGGGCTTGGAGATCAAGATGTGAGCTCTCAGCTTCTCGCTCCAGTTTGCGGCCATGTCTTCCTATCACTGTGGACTCTACCTCTCTGGAACTGTAAACCAAAATAAACTCTCTCTTCTCTAAGTTGCTTTTGGTGATGGTGTTTTATCACAGCAACAAAAT